GCATTTCATGATTTTAGTAAGGAATGAAAACTTGGTAGTGGAATGGTTCAGACCTTGATATAGTAAAAGTAGGCGACATATATAAATAAGATTTACAGGATCTATAATAACCTTTTACTCCTAAATTGTGGAATTTGAGAAAGAACCATATCATAAAATACGTGGCTTCAGAATCCAAATAGATTTTGGAGGGTCATTATGGAAAACGTTGCAATCTTTGGAATGTCAGTAATCTCTACACTTACATGATTGGATCAGTTCTAGTACCCTTGTTATCATGAAGTTCTCATGTTAGGAGGTTGAAGTTTGATTTAACAGTACTGCTCTCCATTCCCTATCATCAATCAGTGTCTATGTCACTCTTAGTGCCTTATTTTTGAAAGCAGAATCGACAACAACTATGTGACAAGTATAGTCTGTATTCGAGTGTTACTCGCTTACCAACTTTTGAAGGAAGAAAGAGAGTGATCCTGACCAGGGTTCGAATCGAGTTGGTTTTGATTTCCCACAACTCAAACCATCTGAAGAAACGCTTTGCAGATTCTTTGCTCAAAAGGATTTGTGGCAAATAATGATTATCCACCCGCCGCAGGAATCAAACTCGGTACCTCCGAGGTTCTAGTTCGTAGCCACATGCTTGCTAGACACTGTGCCACCTCGCCACCACGACTTGACACTAGTACTTGACTGACATACAAATTAGTACTTTTCCATTACTATACTTAGGAATAGCTTCCACGTCAGTTACTTAACAAGGGCTATAGCTGATTGATAGAAGGCTGAAATCTTTCATCCTGGTGTACTCGTAAAAACTGTACTCGAAGAATGACTGAATCTGTAGGTCAGAGTATGACATCGAATGAAAGAGACCGTTATGAAAGTGGGTAGTTTTGTGTTTAGCTCATATATGCATGTTGACTTGTATATTTACTACTGACGGTCGGTTGTTGAAATAATGTTTACTGAATATGAAGGATTTTGTCCACGCTAACACCAGCACAAAAACATTACAGTGTCTCTTTCTTCAAAGTAAAGGAGACGGTAGTTGTCGGTTGCTACAGGAGCCGATTCGTTTGAAGCTGAGACTATGATCGAGATATAATTCATTTTCTGACTGATTATCGGCTTTTTCGATCTACAGCTGGATGAAGACCCTTCCAAGGTCTTAACACAAACTTTCGTATTCTGCGTTTCTTGTTCACACTTTGCCTTAACATATAATTCAGCTGATCTTGTTACCGAGCAGTCTGGGCGTCTTCCTATTGACTGTCTCTTGAAACCCAGTCCAGTACTTGCTTGGTTTAATCGGTTCATTTTAAAACATATCGGTGCATTGCCATTCAACCCCTTCGTTCTTGCAGTGACATCAAAGATTTCTGTCCGTGCCGTTACAGAAATGAACTAAAGCAATATGTGCAATACAGTGGACCTGAAAGAACCGTACACTCTTGCCCCATGGAAATGTACCTAAGAGAGTTAGGAAGTGATTAACGAAAAATGTTTTTTGGTGAGGAAAAGCAAATTAAAACTACCTGACGAGGTAAACAATTTTCAGCGAAAGATTAACAAACCAAAACTTGTGTCAATTAAAAATCGATTATGTGAATTTTTGAATTTAGCGGGATACCAGCAATATTTTCTCTAAAAAACATCACGTAATTATTTACTATGGCAAATA